CTGATGAATCAGTCCAGGTGCTCATATGTGAACTAATGTGTAGGGCCCAAAGTGAAGTCCTCCAGTGAGTTCAGTCCACTCTACAACAAGAAAAAATTGATCGTATCACAAAAAGTATCTTAGGTCAAAGTCCACATTAAGTCCGTGAGGAGCAAGAGTCTTAAGTTGGTGAATCCAGAAGTGCTCTTTTTTTGGCAGGAGCATTTCCAGAGTCCCACCTGTAGAGGGCAGTTTTTAGCCAGGCTGGCACCACCTAGTGCCTCCACTCAATTTCATTTCTCTCCAGCGACTAGGTCAGGAATCAGAATACACCAGACGGTTTGCAAGGACCCCTGAAGCTGAACCAACCCGAGCTGTGATAGCAGACTGCATACGCTATACTCCTTTGGACTTCCTTTGTCAAATACAAACTTCACATTTTTTATTGCACCTTTAATTCGCAAGTTCATCTCGCGGAAACGACTCTCTGCTTTGTTTGCTGTTGTGCCGGAAATTACTTGGACTCCACTGAGCGTTCCTGCGCATTACATATGTCATGACCAAATAGCAGCGATTGGTAAAATAAAAAAAAAACCCGCCTACCATTGAGCGAACAAATCCTAATGCTGCGAGATCAAACAGTTTCATGTTGTGGAAACCGGCTGATGAATCAGACTAGGCAGTTTTGCCTGTTCAGTGCCAATATATCTTAAGGAAGAAATAAGATGATTGAAATCTGCAAAATGAGCCTCCACAGGATAGTTCATGTTTTTATATCTGACGGTTCTGCTGTGTTCTACAGTACGTGGTTTTAAAGCCCTGCTTGTTTTACCACAGAGACTTTACCACAGAGGCAGGTGATCATATAAATGACAGATTTAGTATCGCAGGGTATAACTCCTCTGAGGGGTATTTCTTTTACAGTCTGATCATGCTTGAAGCTGTGGCTCTTCAGCTGCCACCAAATCACAAACTCACATACAACACAGATCACTAGAGCCCAAGGGCACAACAATAATGTGCACCACTGAGATTGAACCTGCAAGATTCTGATTAGAAAATGAACCGTGTGCCTCGTCTTGTACTTTGGCGGTGTATTTTAGAAAATACTTGAGGAAGTTTAGACCTGATATGGTTTTTGTTTTGCTACTGTTTTGTCTTGCACTTTGGCACAACATCAACACATCAAAGAGGAGAACTAACAACCAAAAAACAATTATAACCTATTTTTGCATAAACTTGCCTTACATGATCACACGTTGCGGCAGTGTTTCAGTATTCCCGCATTACCTCATCGCTGTAGCAAAGTTAAACCCACAATCATCACATCCAAACAGCATCCGTCTAAAAATAAACTTGTGTAATTTCACTTCGCGTAAGAGGATCATTCTGAATTTGAACAAGTGCACCTCGGGTACAGGTTTACAAACTATAATGAGATCAAAAATACTGCTGCAACGCCTCGTGAATATTTGACAGGAGCTTTCACAGATTGCATCAACAACGTAAACATACAAATACTATGAAAGTGTATTCTCTTCTGTGGTTTTATTTTACAATGTGTCTTCATCGAGAAAATATAATGGAACTCAATTGTCCTATGTCAACAGTAGTCTTGTGTCCTGTGATGAAAACTAGGTCTAACAAATGTCCAAACGGAGCTCGCTCTGCCTTCAAGGGAATTCTGTCTCAGTGGGACTACATTACCCATGAGCCTTGGTGAAAAATACAGCTTCATTGGTCCCTATGGGAGTAATCCCTAGGCGATGGTGTCATCAAAGTGAAACGTGTTATGTAACGAGACATATTAAGGCTACGTGCCTTCATATTCTTGTATTGTTTGAAACTGGGTGATTAGAGCGTAACCCGAGAAGATATTGCGGGTAAAAGAGATTGGAAATCAGGGTCACAGTGGTTAGAGTGTTTGCCCATTAGCCAGAAGGTCGCTGGTTCCTTCTCAGCTCCAAACATACTGGAGAGATGATGCGTATTGTATTTATAACAATGTAGTTCAAAATGTTTCTGTTGGCACTTTGCAACGGGCTTGTCTCCTTGAAGATGTCATTGTGTTTCTATCTTGTATTTATTCAATTACAGGTGTGTTTTTTTTTTTTTTTCTTTTTTCTTCTTACTGTGAGCGGGAAATCCTTAGATCTGTAACATGGACTGTTCTTCCTCTCCTCATCTATAGGAAACACACTCACTAGAAAAGTTACATGGTCTTATCCAGGCTGGTGCCACCTTGTGCCTCCACTCAATTTCATTTCTCTCCAGCAACTAAGTCAGGAATCAGAATACACTAGACGGTTCACAAAAAAACCCGGAAGTGCGACTTCGGGCACCAGCCAATCAGCGAAGAGCCAGACATTCTGTGTTGGCAACGATTCCCGAGATTGAGGATTTAAAACGGGAACAAAGAGAATGTTTGGTGAATTTTATCAAGGGGAAAGACGTTATTGCCCTTCTTCCTACGGGATTTTGGAAAAGCGTAATATACCAGTTAGCGGCACATTACATACGTCACAACCAAATAGCAGCGACTGGTTAAATGAAAAAAAAGTAGCCACCTACCGTCGAGCGAACAAATCCATAAAGCCTGATGAATCAGACTAACATGGTCTACCTTTATTACCTAATAATAAAGATATGTTTTGTGGAAAAAAAACCCCCAAAAAACTACAATTTAGTTGTTTCGCATGTTTTAGGTTGATCATGAAACCTTCACAAACTCGTGAAAATCCATCTTGACAGACTTTTGTTGTAAAGTTTAAATTCATCTGCAGCGAACGGACCAATCACAGAGCAGCAGGTTTATGTGGAAGGCAAAACTGAAGCTCCCGAGTGAACCAAAACAAACAAGACGACACAGGCAGATGTACTTCAGACTATTTTAGCGTCAATACAGACTATTTAGTTTGTGAAAAACATGCAGAAGGTAAGAGCTTTATGTATTTGTGAACAGGGAAGACGTCTGTGCTTTTCTCTCAGTTTAACTTAAGATTATCTTAAGTTTGATTTTTCATCTTGTTCTGCTTTTGTGACACGGCGACCAATCAGATTCAAACCTTCCTCGTTATCCTCATCATTTTCCCGATGTCTTTCAGCGAGAGCCACTTCAGATTGTTAATGTGTTGAACTCGATTCAGACTGACACACATGCCAATTAAGAAACTTGCCTCCAGAATTGAAATTCACTCTGACAATGATGAAGAACAGGGCCTGAAAATCAAACCCAGGACCGTGTTCAGTGTTGGGGAGTAACAGATTACATGTACCAACGTTATGTAATCAGAGTACAAATGATGAGTAACTCTATTCGGTTACAGTTACTGTTTCAGTGAGTGGTAATTGGATTACAGTTACTTTGTTGAAATACATGGATTACACTGCGGTATTTTCCTGTTTTCACATTTCGGGCTATATCCCTTTTTTTTTTTTTTTTTCAGTAATTCCACTCATTGCCGGACACTAAACCAGGTCCAAACCAGGTCTAAAACCAGGTCTAATCCAGGTCTAAACGAGGTCTAAACTAGGTCTAAACTAGGACTAAACAAGGACTAAACCAGGTTGAAACCAGGTCTAAACCAGGACTAAAACCAGGTCCAAACCACGTTTAAATCAGGACTAAACCGGGTCTAAACCAGGACTAAACCAGGTCCAAACCAGGTCTAAAACCAGGTCTAAACCAGGTCTAAACAAAGACTAAACCAGGTCTAAATCAGGACTATACCAGGACTAAATCGGGACTAAAACCAGATCTTAACCAGGTCTAAACCAGGTCTAAATCAGGACTAAACCAGGTCTAAATCAGGACTAAACCAAGTCTAAACCAAGACTAAACCAGGTCTAAATCAGTACTAAACCCAGATCTAAACCAGGACTAAACGAGGTCTAAACCAGGACTAAAACCAGGTCTAAACCAGGTCTAAAACAGGATTTAATAGGACTAAACCATGCTGCATGGACTGTGTTTCCTCCTCTTCTATCAATAATATTTTAATACAACCGTATTAAAAACGTATTAAGTAAAGACTCGGCTTTTTTATTGTCTTTTAGCAGATAAAACTTCTTATGTTACGATATCCTCGTCTTTGCTTCTCTACAGCAAACCAAGTAATCCAAAATATTCCGATTACATTACTCACTTTAAGTAATTTAATGGATTACGTTGGGGTATGTAATCTGTAATCTGTAGGGGAGTACATTTTAAAAGTAACCTAACACTGTAAGTATCCCAACATTGACCGTGTTGTTATGAGGCAGGAATTCTAACCACTAAGCCTCAACCCTGACATACATTCCGCATAAACACAAGTGCTATTTACTCATTAATATTGCCAACGATACAATCCCAGCATTCCCCAACTGTGTATGAATATGCATAAGGCTCATTACACATGACATTAGCTGAAAGGCCAGCATTATTGACAGTCATTTTCACAAACAAACAACAAATACGAGAGGCTTTATCATCTCCAAATCTGGCTCCTCTCATTGAAGACGCGCGCCGGGTTAGTCTGAGAGCGCGTTCATTTTGGGACAATATTGTAAAAATCTGTTTCCAGAATTTGCACGTTTTAAGTTGAGAGTCTTTTTATGTTTTTGGTCTCCTCAATTATTCATTTCTCGGGTCTGTCGGCTTTGGTGATTTTAATTAGTAATAAAAAGTTAACAAAAAACGTGGTGAGAGATGAACGGAGATAAAAATAGATATAATGCGAAATTGTTCACTCAAAGATACCATTTTATTTAGGAATGCAAATGCGTAGCTGTGTATTTTATGACTGTATAGAGCTCCTGTACTGACCAAATTTGAGATAATATTCTTTTTGACGCTCACCCCATTTTGCTCTTTGTGATAAGTCATTCCCCTTCAGAGCGCTATCGCAACACAATCAGCGTGTGTCCCGCTAATGCAGTGCCTCTTAATTATTTTCTGTCACGCCCCATTTTGTGCCGCTCCACTCCACAGAACCACTACAAGACGTGGACAAATCGCACCATCGCCTTCAGTCGCCTACATAAGAGAGCAAACGTTTTATTCCCGTCTACAAAGCGAAAACGCAGCATGTGTCCGTCCGTATTCCGCGCTGTGCTCACCTGCGTCATGAGGCGGTCCGCTCCCGTGTCCTCCTCGTCTTTAAAGTCGATGTCCGTGTTATAGTTTGAGGCACTTGTGTCGTCCGACGTGACTGAAACCAGGTCTAAAGCTGCAGCAGTATCAGTGGGACCAAGTTATTGTTTTGCAAGTCTCAAGGAAGTCTCAAGTCTTTAACCTCAAGTCTGAGTCAAGTCCCAAGTCCAATACAGGCAAGTCCAAGTCGAGTCTCGAGTCACTGGTCCATAAGTTCAAGTCAAGTCCGAATCGTCTGCTTTGAGTCTTTAAAGTCTTTAAACCAAGCTATCAAATATAGTTTAGATTTTTGCAATTTATATGAATTTTGAGATAAATTGTACTTATAAAGTCATAGTATATTTATATATGAATGTTTATAGAGTATATAAGAGTTGTAGAAATGTAAATGTTTCCTTTTTAAATGTCTTGACAAGATCTTAGAGTGAATCATTACGGTCAGAATAGAAATAATTCAGATTTAAAAGTGCTTCTCAAAGTCACAGGCCTTAAATCTGAGTTAAGTCCCAAGTCACTGACCGTCAAGTCCAAGTCGAGTCCCAGGTCTTAGTCCATTTTATCAAGTCGAGTCTCAAGTCCTAAAAACAGTGACTCAAGTCTGACTCGAGTCCAAGTCACGAATTGCAAGTATCAGCTCCTCTGCTATTTGTTACGCCGCCTTATATGACGCTGCCAGTGCTCGTTGGTTTATCAAAGGAGCATTCACAAAGTGGGATGATTGTTGGCAATATTCGGCACGTTTTTGCTGAAAAAACTCAAGCGGGTTATCAGCGTGATTGTGGTGTAATGTCTATAAGCGACGCTGTAATTTATTTGGCTTCATGATGTCCGCTGCAAACATTTTTAGACACAGTAAACACAGCGGTCTTTCCTCGTTTCCCACCGTAGTCACAGTGAAGCCGAGCGCTACATACACTTAGATACGTACAGTTTGTTCTCTGCACTTCATATCTCCTTCTCTGTGCTGTGTGTGCGTTTACTCGGTGCAAAAAACCCGACACTGTTGCGCTAATACTCCCTGTGCACACTGCGACACTGCCAACTAGTGTAGTGGATGTGCAATTACACTTTATTCTAGTACGGCAAGAAAAAAAAAAAGCGTGTTCCCGGAGGTCATTGTCCCACTGCGCTAATGAAACTACTGCACATCACATCATTTTCGTCAAGTTGTTGTGAACAGTTTTGTATCATGTTTTTGTATATTTGTGAAGAATTGCCGCGTGGGAGCTTGGGTGACGTAGGCGTGTGAGCGGACCTTTGGACAGAATGATTATTGTTACATCCTTCGTAATCACAATAGCGAAACCTCTCCATTCATTCTTAAATTAAGGCCCGGTGCGCGTTTTGCTGTACATGTAATCCGATGCTGACTCACATGAAGCTCACCGTCGCCGAGTCTAAAATGCACAAATAAGCGCTTGTGTTGTGCGAATCAATAGTTAAACAAATACAACACCCCCCTTCGGTCAATAAGTACGTCCACTGTGGTACATCCTCTGTTAAGCTGAGCCACAGGCAGTCTGCCATTCCACTTTCACACTACATTTTGTGATTTCATTTAATGCTGATTTCGTACTGCGCTCCACTGCTGTTATGAGAATATCTATACTAATGCAAAATACAATATTGAATCATGCTGCGTGGTTAGCGGCTCACAGCAAGAAGGTTCCGGGTTCGATTCCTTGGTTAAGGTGGAGTTTTGTGTGTCTTGTTTCATTCACACATGTTTAACGCACAAATTCGGCATGTTTAGGAGTTCTTCTCTCGAACAGACAACGTGGTAAAACAGGAATTGCACCGCCGTGTTTTTAAATAAATGTCATACACCTTCACTAGAATGGTTTGGATGATTTCAGAGCCTATTTCATCAGCCCGTTTCACTTCGTGGAAACCGTCTGACCTCGCAGCATTAGAATTCGTTCGCTCGACGGTAGGCAGGTGCTTTTTTTATTTAACGAATCACTGCTATTTGGTCGTGATGTAATGTAATGCGTCGCTAACGGGGCGAACTGGTATATTAAGCTTTTCCCAAATCCCGTAGGAAGAAGGACAATAACGTCTTTCCCCTTGATAAAATTCACCAAACATTCTCTTTGCTCCATCTTTAACAATCACCGATCCGCTCGGTGATTGTGGCGCATGTATTTATTCTCCGCTAATGTCTGTGGCTCTCGCTCCGGTTCTCGGGTCTTTTTCTTTCTTCCTGATAATAACGTCTCTACGTCTGTGGATACTCGTCCCTGATTGGGTGACGTGGCGTGTCTGAAGCGAAAAGTTCAGCATTTGCCTTGGACGCGCATCTAGAGCGTTGACGCCAAAACGCTCAAGACGCACCGTGTCGACCCAGATTCGCGCCGCACCGACGCCCGAAAAACGCAGGACGCCCAAGACACGCATCCACATAGACTTTACATAGAAACTGGATGCTTTGACGCTCTGGTGTGAACCCCTCTTAATAAAAAAGGTTACTCAAACATGTGTGAATGAAACAAAACACAACTCCAGGTAATAACATTATAACTTAAAGCTCACAAGAGTCAATTTCATGTCATCTTTAATCACCTAATTCACTACAAACTATCTTGTAGCGTCATGTTGCCTTAAGTAAAAGCTAGGAACGACTAGAACCCGAACATGCACTTCCTGATTATTGGACAGTAAAATGCTTTATAATTACACTTAGACTTATTTACATAACATCTGTACTAAAGACTGTTTGAATAGGTTCAAGTAAGGATTGGTAAATTACTCAAATGCATGCATGACATTTAAAAGCTCTTCAGGCATGTTTTTGATAAGGAAATATTATTAAAAGTAAATCGAGTGCTTTATAATTATTCTTAGACTTATTTACATAATATCTGCACTAAGGACTGTTCGAATAGTCCACGTAGAGATCGCTAAACATGCACGGATGACATCTAAAACCGCTTCAGGCATGTTTTTGATTAGAGAACATCACTACAACATGGTAAAGCTCCAAAAAGTCAATAAATTGCTTCATAATTAGACGTATTTACATAATATGTGCACTGGGGCGAGTCAAATTTTGCTCAAACGTGCAGGAAATAACCAGGTAAGAGCAATTTAAATGATTATGTATTTACATCTTCCTATTGGCCATAATTGACATGTAAATCACATTACTAGTACATTCAGAAATACCCATTAGCATAACGTAACCATCTCCTCACTCCAAATATGAAAAAACATGGATGAGTGGTGCATTCAAAACCGCTCGGAAATCCGGTAAACACCCGCTGGAGTGTTATTGCGTGTGAAATTGCTAATTAAGCTTTTGAAAAATTTTATATTTCTCTCCGGGCAGGTGAAAAGAATGTATGCGGCGAATAAACACGGCAAAACAGACATTTCCCAGCGTCACTTGAAAGCACCACCGGCCGGGTTATGTAACGCTGTAAGTCGGAGTGTGGTTCGTCTAATGCTCACGGAAGGCCTCGGGGTATACTTAATTGAACTTGTACTGCAGATTTCCTCAGGCACAGACATTTACGAACAAATGTCAATAGGCAAAGTAATATAGATTTTATAGAAGTGTGTACGTCGGGGTTTTCGTGTTTTTCTAATTATGACTTGGTGTGGTGCGGTAGTCCCTGTGGTCAGTGTTTATCATAGTTTTACATCGTTTTTTTTTTTGAAGTAAAGTTGAGGAAGAAAAGCACAAAAATACAGAAAGTAGCGGTGAGTTCAGAGTTCAGAATGCAGACGCTATTTTCTTTACAAATCTGCATTTAACAAAGTAAACGTGTTATTTATTTTTATTTGTCTACTTTCTAAATCTTTCTTAACTACTGAGCATATTAAAACTTCACGAAAACGAGCAGAAAATGATGCAAAAATGTTAGTAAAATCCATCTGTAACTTTTCTAGTAGAGTTTTGGTTACTGCTTTAACTTCAGTATTCCAAAGTATGGCATTAAACTTTTCAGTCTCCATAGAAACAAGAAGGAGACACCACCAGGCCAAGTTACAGGTGAGATCTGTGAAAAGGTGATCCCACTCGCAGTAAGAATGCTTGTTTTAAAGGTATTTTTGAGCAGTGAAACACTCCATAATCAAATAAAAGTAGCTTACATAAGTTTGATACCATATTGTGGAAAGTTACGCAGTGCACCTTTAAACGTATCTATCTCCATGGAGGTCATAGACTGTCATATAAATGGACATAACTAATGCGCTAGATCCCAGCTTTTACTTAAGGCAACATGGAAGTTCGCATGTGGGTGCTTCCGGCTCCTATTGACCCTGGCTCCCAATGACGTCTGCCCGTGGCCGGAGCTCCCGCTCGGAGTCCACGGCTGGGCAGGAGCTCGGAGTCGAGGCTTGGAGCCCAGGGCAGGGCCAAAGTTCAGAGCCCACAACTCCACAGCCGTTTACTGTAAATTTTCTTATAAAGCGCCATTCCATTGACTACACACTATGTTTTATTTTCACGGTAATACGGAACAAAGTGTGTCGCTTTTCAGCTCAATACGGGCGTGTCTGAAGCGAAAAGTTCAGCATTTGCCTTGGACGCGCATCTAGAGCGTTGACGCCAAAACGCTCAAGACGCACCGTGTCGACCCAGATTTGTGCCGCACCGACGCCCGAAAAACGCAGGACGCCCAAGACGCGCATCCACATAGACTTTACATAGAAACTGGATGCTTTGACGCTCTGGTGTGAACCCCTCTTAATAAAAAAGGTTATAGACTGGATATAAATGGACATAACTAATGCGCTAGATCCCAGCTTTTACTTAAGGCAACATGGAAGTTCGCATGTGGGTGCTTCCGGCTCCTACTGACCCTGGCTCCCAATGACGTCTGCCCGCAGCCGGAGCTCCCGCTCAGTGTCCACAGCTGGGCAGGAGCTCGGAGTCGAGGCTTGGAGCCCAGGGCAGGACAAAAGCTCAGAGCCCAGGGCCCCACAGCCGTTTACTGTAAATTTTCTTATAAAGCGCCATTCCATTGACTACACACTATGTTTTATTTTCACGGTAATACGGAACAAAGTGTGTCGCTTTTCAGCTCAATACGGGACGTGTACTTTTGTTCCTGAATACGGGACGATTCTGTTTTTCAAAGGACAGTTGGCAGCCCTAGTTCTCCGGACATCCATTGTAAATACTAGGGCTGGGTATCATTAAGGAGTTGTCAATACGATACATACCTCGATACACAGGCCACGATACGATACATATCTCGATACAGTGCACTTTCAATTCGATATGATATATTTCAAATCGATTCGATATGGTTCAATAAAAAATTAAAGCTAATCTTTTAATGACAGTCTGAACGACACAGATCAGATTTTTTCAAATGTGACCCAGGTCACTTGGATATGTGCTCCTGAAACTGATACATATCTGATCTTTTGACATGCGACTTCAATCTGAACGGCCAAAGCACATTCATCTGACCTACACGTTATCAACAAGCCACAGACGTCACTATTCTGCGCTGAAGTAGGCGAAAATTGTTAATGAACTCCGTGTCACTGAAGCGAAGCACATCACCACTCACCACTCTTGGCTACGTCTCCACATCCACACGTTCCTTTCAACGACGTCGCTGCCACTGCCCCACAAAACACCACGGCCAAAAACCTCGTCCTTGTCCTTCTCAATCTCCTTAAAACAAGTAAGTTGTTCATGTTCTGGCTCCGGTACGAGAGAAACTTTAAAATCTCCAGTGCTCAATGTTGCGTCCATGTTTGGACAACTTCCGTAAACACAGAGCACGCTCGCTGCAGTTGACGTCATCGTGCCTCCAGTGCGCATGCGGGACACTTTTGGGCCGTTTACTGTTCACACTGGAGTCACATACAAGTCACATTTAATTGGAAATGTGGACGACCTCGCAAAAACATCGGATTTCACAAAAAAATCGGAATTGAGCGTTAAGCCCTGCAGTCTGAACGTAGCCTTAGAGATATAATTAGCAGACGCAGCTCACACGTTCAACTCACATGCTTCAACCACTTGACAAACACATTTATCGACTGAACAGAGCAGGTTCAGAGCTTTAACAAGAGGTTACAGCATGTCCGTACTGGTCAAAGTGTCACCGTGGTAACAGAAAGACGACGCTCACTGTTATGCTAAATGCTAATGTTATGCTAAAAGTGGCTTGTTAGCGGTTAGCACATAGCTCAGTTGGCAAAGACAAAACGGTAAATATTAAAACCAGGTGCTTAACTGAATAAAAGATACTGGAATTAAACCAAACTACAATGATTTCAATAAGAAAAAAAGTTGGCAATACTATTAAAAAAAATAAAAAAAAATCCTATACCACTATAATCAAACTCCTGTAAACAAACAAAAAATAAATAAATACTTGTTTTGGAAAAGTGGTATCCTATGCATTTTATATTTGTAGAGGTTATATTATATTTATACAGAATAGAACAGATTATTTTTTTCTTTGCTTATTTGCAGATTTTCGATTACAATAATAATATAGTAGAAAATAATAACAGTATATTTTAGAAAGCAATGCATTTTAAGATACAGTGAAACATAACACTGCCTTAACTATACATTTTATTCAGTGGTGTAGTGGAGATTTTTTAAGTGGACGTATGCGATTCGTGATCACCACAACTCACTTTCTGTACAAGCACAAAGGCGCCAGCACAGTAAAAAAAATTAAAAAAAAATTTGATGTTTTTTTACTCAAAACAGCGTTAATGTTAATAACATTAATGCCGTTCATAATCACTTACAGAACATAAAGCCTAGACTACAACACATGGACCAGGACTAAACCAGGACTAAAGCAGGACTAAACCAGAACTGAGCCAGGACTGAACCAGGTCTAAACCAGCAGAACTAAACTAGAACTGAACCAGGACTAAACCAGGTCTAAACCAGGACTACACCAGGACTACATCATGTCTAAACCAGAACTGAACCAGAAGTAAACCAGGACTAAACCAGAACTGAACCAGAACTAAACTAGAACCAGGACTAAACCAGGTCTAAACTAGGACTAAACCAGAACTGAACCAAGTCTAAAACAGGACTAAAACAGGACTAAACCGGGCCTAAACTAGGACTAAACCAGGACTAAAACAGGTCTAAAACAGGACTAAAACAGGACAAAAACAGGACTAAACCGGGCCTAAATCAGGACTGAACCAGGACTAAAACAGGTCTAAACTAGGACTAAAACAGGACTAAACCAGGTCTAAACCTGGCCTAAACCAGGACTGCATCATGTCTAAACCAGGACTGAACCAGGACTAAACCAGGACTAAACCAGGACCCAGGACTAAACCAGGTCTAAACCAAGTATAAACCAGGACTAAACCAGGACTGAACCAGGACTGAACCAGGACTAATCTTGAACTTGAGAGCGAGAGAGCAGGTGTCCAAAAAGTGCGATCATGAGCCTCTGCAGTTTGTTTTCACCGTTGCCAATCGCTCCAGTTTGACATTTAAGTTGCAGCTATTTTATATTTGTTAATTTTTTTATATCTCTCGTCTGTAGAAGTACCACGCCCACGACACCCCGGATTTTCCTGGCGATCCATCCTTGCACGCGCTAACATTCACTAATTGAACCCGCTTTTACACACAAATCCCACAAAGCACCTGCCGCACTCGGATACTGTCACCGCTCGCGTGAAACAGACAGGTGGGATTATCAAACGCACCTTTCCGACTAATCCACAAAGTTCCGCCGTCTCACCAGCGCACGAGCCCGAACGCTGACTCAGAACACGGGCTGGTTTCGCCGCTAAACTGGCACTCGCTCGCTCCATATGTGCAAGGAGTACAGGGATTTGTAGTACGGATTTGTAGTCCAACTGGAGGGTTTGGGCCAGGAATGCTCGCTTGTACTGAACAGAAGACAGTGGAGTTAGGGGGATTTAATGCTTTATTGTGGCATTTTTCTATTAATACTTCAAGAGTGTTGTCGCATCGCAAAAAAAAAATGTATATGTATTAATAAAAAGTACGCTATTTTTGGGATGCTGACTCTTACTTTTTATGAGAACACTGGCATATTTTTAATTGCAGGAAACCTCTTAGCAGTGTTGGGGAGTAACAGATTACATGTACCGGAGTTACGTAATCAGAGTACAAATTATGAGTAACTGTATTCGGTTACAGTTACTGTTTCAGTGAGTGGTAATTGGATTACAGTTACTTTGTTGAAATAAATGGATTACGCGGCGGGATTTTCCTGTTTTCACATTTTCGGCTAAACCAGAACTAAAACCAGGACTAAACCAGGTCTAAACCGGGACTAAAACCAGGACTAAACCAGGTCTAAACTAGGACTAAACCAGGACTAAACCAGGTCTAAACTAGGACTAAAACCAGGACTAAACCAGGTCTAAACTAGGACTAAACCAGGACTAAACCAGGTCTAAACTAGGACTAAAACCAGGACTAAACCAAGTCTAAACTAGGACTAAACCAGGACTAAACCAGGACTAAAACTAGGACTAAAACCAGGACTAAGCCATGTCTAAACTAGACTAAACCAGGACTAAACCAGGTCTAAACCAGGACTAAAACCAGGACTAAAACCAGGAGTAAACCAGGACTAAACCAGGTCTAAACTAGGACTAAAACCAGGACTAAAACCAGGACTAAGCCATGTCTAAACTAGGACTAAACCAGGACTAAACCAGGTCTAAACTAGGACTAAAACCAGGACTAAACCAGGACTAAGCCATGTCTAAACTAGGACTAAACCAGGACTAAACCAGGTCTAAACTAGGACTAAACTAGGACTAAACCAGGACTAAACAAGGTCTAAACTAGGACTAAACTAGGACTAAACCAGGACTAAACCAGGTCTAAACTAGGACTAAACTAGGACTAAACCAGGACTAAACCAGGACTAAAACCAGGACTAAACCAGGACTAAACCAGGACTAAACCAGGACTAAACCAGGTCTAAACTAAAACCAGGACTAAACCAGGTAAACCAGGACTAAACCAGGACTAAACCAGGTCTAAACTAGGACTAAACCAGGACTAAACCAGGTCTAAACTAGGACTAAACCAGGACTAAACCAGGACTAAAACCAGGACTAAACCAGGACTAAACCAGGTAAACTAGGACTAAACCAGGACTAAACCAAACCAGGTCTAAACCAGGACTAAACCAGGACTAAAACAGACTAAACCAGGACTAAACCAGGACTAAACCAGGACTAAAACCAGGACTAAACCAGGTCTAAACCAGGAAACCAGGTAAACCAGGACTAAACCAGGACTAAAACCAGGACTAAACCAGGACTAAACCAGGACTAAACCAGGACTAAACCAGGACTAAAACCAGGACTAAACCAGGACTAAACCAGGTCTAAACAATATGACACTAACAGTAGGTGGACATAATTTAAAGCAGCAGTGATCTCATCTCTCACCACTTGCAGCGCACGTAAACACACACGAGCAGATAGTGACCGTGCAGTGAAAAATACTTGTAGCCACATTTATTATTCCACGTGGACGAGGAATGAAGTGAAAAAGTGAGTGTTATTTTTAGTTATCACTGAACAGTTGAGTTATTGTGAATACGCTAACAATTTAGTGCTCTCAGACGGTATTTACACGTACATGAGTATTTTTAAAAAACTGAGACATTTCCCTTCGTTTGTGTCCATCTTTTACACACAAACGGTGAATTTGCGGTGAAGTTACACAATGCACCTTTAAGCCATGTTATAATGTTGTTACCTCCTTGAAAAACATCGGAGTTGTGGTTCCTTTCATTCACACAAGTCTGACTAAAATCTTTGTTATTAGTTTGACTACGGCCCCATTTACACGTACACGGTTATTTTTAAAAGAGACATTTCCCTTTGTGTGCCCCCATCTTTTACACGGTAAATTTGCCTCTGAAAACAAATCTTTCTAAAAACTCCAGCTAGAGTGGAGATTCTGGAAAACTACAGAGATAAAGTGAGATAAAAGGAGTTTTAGGAGCTGACGTGCCAAA